CTCGAGGCGAGGGCGAGGGCGCGCGTGTGCTATGTGTGCCACATCTGTTCCAGAGCAAGCCACAAGTTGAGTCATGTGTAGGCGTTGCTGCTCAGAAGAAGATTGAAAAGGCAAGACAACAAGGCTGAGACGTGGTAAGCTGGTCACAGCGGCGACTCACACTCTTGTAGCTTCCCCAATAGTCCAGAAGTCTTGTTCGTCAGCACCACGCGCTGACCCGTGAGTCTCCATATGTTCATTCGTCTTTGTCCGCGATGGTCATGCAGGCGCACATCAGCAGTGCCAAGTGGCGCAGAGCGGCTGCTGTCTGCATGTGAGCCATGTGTTACTTGCCGCTTACATACAAAATATGAATTCAGCTTGGCCTCTCATTCAAGACTGTTGTGTAAGAGGTCATGCATTGAACCCTAGTCCATCTGAATTTAAAGTTTCATTATTATCATCCGGTACAAGGCCAGAAAATGACAAGATTTCTTATTGTGATCCAAATTGCAGATCCGCGTATGCGCTGCTGCGCGCCTCGGCGGAAGGAGGACGCGTTCGTGTTCCGCAGGGCACCTCGGACCCATGTATCCATCCATCAGCATCAGCGCCGTCCATGCAGCAGCAGCTATACAGCTGTTCTCCGCTTCATTCTTATATGAAACAATGGCGATCCAGCGACGTAGTAGGCATCTATAGACAGCGCTTTCTCGACTGTGGTTTTGGTTGCTCACCTCGAAGAACCTTTAGGCCGCTTCTCTGCAGCAATCACCGAATCTCACTACCACTAATTGACAGTGTTGAGTCGCTCGCAGATTCACAACTACACCCAGCCGCGGCCGACGCAAATCGTGCGTTCGTGCCATGCCAAGTCCTGGTGCTGCTGACTCGCGGTTCTGTCATGCGCGCCAAAAGCTTCTCGGCGCTTAGTCGTAGGGCCAAGCATCAGGAATCTTGCGTCGCATTCAGCCTCGCGCCCTAGCCGCAGCCGTGTGTGGGCTATAGCTGATGATACATGTAAGTGCGTTGCACACAAGGAGTCACGGGCACTGCTGTAGTCACGAGTGTCGAGGCAAAATTCGCGGCGACTCGCGAGCGGTGTTGCATGAACATCGAACTCAACTGAGAGCGAGCAGGAACAGCAAAGCATCAGAACAACACA